GATAAAGAAGCCTTGAGGATAAGTCGTGATCTTCACCAAGAATAATCTCTTAGCTGCGATAAAGAAGTCTTGAGGATAAGTCATGATCTCCACAAGAATGATTTCTTAGCTACTATAAAATAACTCCAATCTGGTAGAAGAGGGAGGAAGGTCACGCCCCACCAACACTTACAGAGGACAGACCGACGACCGGAGACCACTGCTTCTTTGATTCTCCATTCTCTCAAAGCTTGTATCTCTATTCTCCATACCTCTGAATTAATAAAATACCCGGCAACTGAAGCCATTGAAGAGTGGACGTAGGTCGAATTGACCGAACCACTATAAATTGTGTCTTCTTTAATTTTTTCATTGATTTCATTGCATTTATTATCTACACTTGACAGGTGGTGTGCAAAACCATTTTTGTGCATCATCAATTTGGCGTCGTCTGTGGGAATCGACAAAATTCTCACTCCTGAACATTACATCCATTAACTAATGGCGATCACTACTCGATCCATGAACCAACACGAAGACAATCCTCCACGAGAGGAGGAGGTTGCTCCCCCGCCTATCAACCCTGTTCCGGATACTCTAGCCCCGAATCCCCAACAAATATTGGAGACCATGCAGCAACTGGTTGCTCAAAACCAACAGTTACTGCAACTCATACTTGCTGGACAAGGAGGAGCACCACACGGAGGTGCACAACATGGAGGACCCCAAGGTGGAGCACCACACGGAGGTGCATAACGTGGAGCACCACACGGAAATGCACAACATGGAGGGCCCCACGGAGGTGCACAACATAGAGCACCCCAGGGAGCTCCACGTCCTGGACATCAAGGAGCACCACGCCCTGTTGCTCCACGCCCGGGTGCCCCATTGGGCACCCCACTTCGGAAAGCCCAACATGAGGGAGCTGCACCTCCCCCTCCCCTTGCTTTCCAGGGAGAGGACCCTTATCTCCAGGAGGATGAGGGTGAAAACCAAAGCATGGGGCATGGAAGCCACTTCCATGATCATTCCAGAGGAGCCCCCAATCATTGGGACGAGAAGATAAAGGAGGTACAAAATCAACTCGGTGATGTCTTCAACGCCATGAAGGCACAGGGACCCGAGACTGTTGACCACCTGGTAAGGCGTACTGATACCCCTTTCAAACCTGATGTAGCAAACTACCCCCTCCCTCAGAAGTTCAAAATGCCATCTGTGGAGACCTTTGATGGAACAAAGGATCCACTGGACCACCTCGACACTTACAAGACCTTGATGCAATTGCACAACGTACCAGACGAAATCATGTGCAGGGCATTCCCAACCACATTAAAGGGGTCTGCCCGACAGTGGTTTGCTAAGCTCTCCCCCGCCTCTATTGCCTCTTTCGCCGAGCTTAGCAGATCATTCGTCTCACACTTCATAGGAGGGCGTCGCCACCAGAAGCCAGTTACGCACCTGCTTAGTATAAAGCAGGACCGCGAGGAGAGCCTGAGGAGTTACCTCACTCGTTTTAACGAGGAGGTACTCCAAGTTGATGAACCTGACGACAAGGTGACGATGACCGCTTTCTTGGGTGGCCTCCGTTCATCAAGTTTCCTTTTCTCAGTTCTGAAGCGTCCACCGAAGAGCATGCCAGAGCTGCTAGCCAAGGCCCAAAAGTATATACACGCAGAAGACATCACAAGGGCCAGGCGGGGTGAGTCTTCCAGAGCAGGGGATAAAAGGAAGGAAAGGGAGAGGGACGATAAGAAGGGGACCAANAGCTGGTGAGAAAAGGAAGGAAAGAGAGAAGGACGATAAGAAGGAAACCAGCAACAAATATGGCAGG